ACTTCGTGATGTGGTTTATATTAAGGGTTGGTTTCTTTGTTAGTCGTTGATCCTTGTCATCGTTATGCTTATCGGATCGATCTCTATACCTATGTTCAACTGAGTTTTCCTTTCTTGCCTTATCCCTAACAAACGTCTAGCAATGCCATCCAACAATTCTTCGATGTGATACCTTAACATTTGGCACCCCCTGGTAGCATGACTAGTGCTTTTGTGGAAAAAGCATTATTCGTTCGGGTTTCTCTTGGCCAGGTGCTCCGAAAGCAACTCTGGGCATCAGAGGAATAGTTTATCCTTTATATTGTGGAAGATATTATTGATGGTGGTGTTCAAAGGAGTATACTGTTTTTGTTTTAGGGGTCCCTGTTTGTCTTGGCGTCCTCCTTTTGCAGCTTGTCGTGGAGAATGAGGGGATGTATCTTTGTTGGCCCTTCTTCTATTAGTTTTTCTGGGATAATTTGATTCGGTTGCTCTTTTCATCCCAGTCCATCAGATCATCTGCAATATCAAAGCACTCCATTAGAGTGGCGTAGTCATATTTTATCTTGTTCAGCTTTTGAGAAATAGGGGGAATTGACAACCCTCGCTTGAATGCCATTGTGACTAACTTATCATCTAGTTTATCCACTTCCACTAGTTCAACTAAGAAGCATTTTAAATAGGTCCTGAGATTTCTTCTTTAGACTGCAGGACCATTATGAGCATGGCTTTGTGACTTTTGCACACATCACGGTACACTGAGTAGGTGTTTGTGAATATGTTGGCCATAGTTTCGAAACAGTCTATGGATCTGGCAAGCTTTGCTGGTCCCTCTGAAGTAGATTGGAACATTTTACACATCCACGGATGATTGTTGATATATAGTGCCATGGCTTTCCGGTAATGCATGATGTGATAGTCGGGATCAGAGTCGCCACGGAACGATTTGGATGCTGAGATTTGAACCAGCGGGAGTATTTCTTCAATTGCCATTGAAAGTGGACTGTCAACCTGCCAGGGGTGCAAGGTTGACTGTCTAGGCCCATATGATCTTCCCTATTCAGAAGGTGTCATCGTTCGTAATCTCCAAAAAATCCAGGCTAGTCAAACCTTAGACGACGTGGCTCTGCTCTTAGTACTCCTGCAACACCTTTGCGATGATTATGTTGATTTAGTGGTTCTTCTCCAGTGACCACATTAGTGACTTGTCCATTTCTTGTTGGGACCCTTCTCTGATTGATAGTATTCAACTGTATCGGAACAACAGAGGTTGTTATGGGGTCTCCTTCAAGAGTTATGATACTTATGTTTTCGTATCTGAAAACAAGAATTTGAGTTTAAGTGGTAGTCCTGCTTGAATACTTGAGGTTTTTCATTTGTTTTTCCATGTCTACGCAGTTGGAATGGCTCTCTACTTGAGCGGTAGTCTGGTTCTTTTGCAGCTTCTCGAAGGACCTTATCAAGGTTTCCCAAATTTGGTCCATGGATGGATGTAGTTTGTTGACTAGGTCCCCACTGTTTCCTGGTGTGGCCGTTACTCCTTGTCGACTATTACTTGCTCTAGGGGTTACAGTGATTTGAGGCGGCGAATTATTCGTTCCGAAATAATGGATGTGTTAGAAGACAGATCAATTCCACTGGTGGGTTAACGTTGGCGTTGATCGAGCTCTCTTCGGTAGACATATTGGTTAGTAAAGTGATTTGATCGAGATGAATAAGAGCTTGCTCTCGATGAAAGCACCAATTGTTAAAACAAAATTTGCGCACCACCGTGAGTGGTGGTTGAGCACAAACTCGAGCAACCTGTAAAACACTAAACAACCATGAGCAAGCTTAAGACAACCGAGGGGGGAGGGGTGTGCCCAAAGGCTCTCTAACAGTCAAGTTAGTGAATAATTTTAGACTTAAGTAATGGGCAAGAGAATTCAAGTCTTTAGATTGCGTTACCATAGATGAACGTTAGACCGTGGGGAGAAAGATCTTTTTAGAATAGAATCCTCATTCTAAGCCAGGAGAATCCTAGAGGATATTTAGAAGTAGATATTGCATCCTCTTATGAGTTATGATTACTTGTGGCACATGTTAATTCCTAGATTGTAAGTACTCTAAGACTAATAGGATCTTATTTGTGCCCGTATCCGGATCACATCGTGTGTCTTGCAGAACAAGTATTGTCATCCAATGGAGATGCTAGGACTCACCCTAGTGCCCCGGAGTAGAGTGATGTTGGCACCAGTGCTCTATTTGATACAGCTCCACCCGAAGTTGGTGAGTCCATAACCAGACTTCTGAGGTAACTGTATTCTGATCAACCTTACTCTTGCTCTTGAAAATCATGGTCTCACAATATTGCCAAGCTGTTGCAGCCAATAAGTGAGGAGGAAGTGTGGGAAGCTGTAAACGGCATTGGTGCGCTGAAAGCCCCAAACCCTGATGGTTTACATGCTAGTTTTAACCAAGGTTGTTGAGACACTTTTAAAGAATATGGGTCTGTCTTATGAAAGACTTCTTTGATAAAAACGTTAGTCTAAGGTTGATAAATATAACTTTCATCCTTAAAGTGGAGAATCCCCAGGTGGTCAGAAATTCTAGACCTATAAGTCTTTGTAATGTAAGTTATAAATTATTACAATGTTTTAATTGCTCATGAGATACAGGATAATATTTTGATTGCTCATGAGATTTTCTCTAAAACTTTGAAAGGAAGAAAGGAGAAACATGCAACATGGCTATAAATATGGATCTGGAAATGGCCTAAGATATGCTCAACTGGGATTCGATCAGGTATGTGCTTATCAAATTTGGTTTTTTATTCAAGATGGGTAATTTAATTATGGAATGCATAATTTCTACATCCTTCCCAATTTTGATCTATAGCCTGAACATGGCTATTTTTACTCTAAGAGCTGAATCCGACAAGGTAATCCTCGATCACCATATATATTTATTTTTGTGTATTTAACCTCGAATTCGACATTTAAGTAAACTAAAACGCAGCCCAAAGTCCCATGGTGGTCTCCTAACATCCCCATTTGGCTACAAAGTTTCCAATTTGGTGCTTGCAAAGGATTGCCTCTAGTTTGCAAGAGCTACATCAAGGGCTGCGAGAAATATTTTAGGATCATCCCTTTATTCCTATAATAATACTAACAACCAGAGGAATGAGATTGTTGAGATTATGCAAATTCAACACAAAGCTACAATTGGGAAATATCTAGGAATTCACAATATTGTTTTTTGGAAAGATGCTATGAATGGTAATATAAGAAGAGTCAAATAAAAACTCACCGGTTGGAAGGTTAATACCCCTTCTAAAAACTCACTTATCCAATCTAACCTTACTGGTATGCCTACTCATGTAATGTCTTGTTTTACATGCCCCAAATAAATTAACTGCTAAACTAAACAAAGAATGTAGGATGAAAAAAAAAAAAAAAACAAAGGATGTAGGAAGTTTTGCTTGGGGCCATGAGAATAATATGAACCCCATTGCATGGAAGGATGTCTGTACTTCTGAAAAGTCTGAGGGTTTAGCAAGGTTTAGCAATTAGAAACTTGGAACATTTCAACGATGCCTATTTAGCAAAATTGGGATGGAAAATTCTAACAGATCATAATAATTGGTTGGTTCAAATTGTGAGGAGGAAGTACCTTCATAAGGAGAACTAGGTAATGTAAGGTTAGATAGTGTTACTCTACAGCTTGGAAAGGAATTTTGGAAATTAGATAAATAATTAATAAGGATATGAAATGGGCTCTGGGGCAATGGCAGGAACATACTATTCTGAACTCACCATTGGATTTTTCCAGACACACTGCTTAATCCCATCCCTGAAAATCAAAGACGTTCTCGATTAAATATAAAAGTAAACCAATTTAGAGCGAATAATTGCTAGGATCGGAATATGCTGACCCAGTATGCGGATGAAATATTGCGAGGAAAATATGTCACATCTCTATTCCTCTCCAGGAGACTGAAGATTGTATTGTGTAGAGCTGATGCTAATGGTAAGCTCTCTGTTAAATCTTCTACTTGGTTACAAAATGATATGTTGACATATTACAAGTCTGAAGCTTTTGAGCAAAATGTGGAAGATAACTATCCCACCAAAATTAAAAACATTCAGTTGGCTACTAATTAGAAATAGATTACAAACCAGGAAAAAGATAAGTACATCAAGAATATTGATACTAATTGCCTTTATAGTAATCTGAATCTTGAAGACCAAAATCATTTATTCCTGGAATGTCAATATGCGAAGGATGTTTGGGGTCATAACACCGCTAGGAATAGTGCGAGTTTAATAGATTGGCTAAATACTCTGCCGAATTTAGATAATATGGAATTGAGCCACTTAAGTAAGGCTTTGTTAGTTTGTTGGCAAATTTTGAATGACAGAAATGATTTTGTTTTTAGAAAGTCTAAACCTATGGCAAGAACAAGGATTAGTATTGCCGACAGTTTTAGAAAAGCTTTTTTCTCAACCAACAATATGGTTCGAGCTCATGTTGCGGGAGGGAGCATGGAAAGGATTACTTGGACCAAACCGAAGGACCATTTTGTCAAAATCAACTTTGATGGGCTTGTCTGTCAAAGCTTGGCGGCGGAAGGTTTCATTATTAGAGATCACGTTGGTAGACCGGTCATTGCTGGGCCTCAAAACTGGGGAGAAAACACACTACAAAAAAAATGATCAGTGCGCACAATAAATTATCTATGCCTTTTGAGGTCAAAAAGCACCAACAATTGTGCTCATAGACAAATAGCAACAGTGCAACAACTATATTTGTATCTGTGCCCTCTATGGGCGTCACCATTGCTGATAGCACACAATATCGCTATTTGTGCTCAAAGAGTTCAACACAAATAACAGCCTATTTGTGTCTTAATTCTGACAACCATGTCAGATTGTCGGGTGACAGAATCATATGCGCACAATTTTCAAATCATGCCCAATAGGTTCTATTTAATAAAAAAAAAATATTAATGTAGAAAATTTTGAATTTTTTAAAAAATCAACAAATCCCACAATATACACGTATTTCAGTTATTCACAACAAATCCCACGTAATTTACAACCAAGCCCTTTTTCATAATCCTATCCTCCCCCACTGAACTGCAGCTGTTGGACCCAATTTCTTCGTGCAATGAAGCTCACTTAACCACATTCCCTTCTTGCTTATACTTAAGAGAGTCCCACAACTTTTTTCTGAATGGAAAATAAATCGTAGCTGAGTAAGAATCTTAGTAAAAAGCATAGACTAAGAAATATTTATACCTTACAAATAGCATCCATTTCATCAAAGATTATCGCATGCAAACCACTCTGGTCTCCAAGGGAATTAAGGACATAATGAGATTATAAATTATTGAAAAACCAGCCTAAGTGCACTTGACATGTATATATTTCCCTTACCGCGAGCCCTTTGATCATTCTCAGCATCAGCAGATAGATTCCTAACATTTTTCTCAGTTTCACCAACTTGCTCAAAACTTCAGGGCCATTAACAATCTAGCACAATTCACAAAAACAGAAATCTCACCAATCACCAATGCAGATAATAACCAACTTATCTAAGGATAAGTTGCATATCCAAAATCATTCAAACATGCTCAAATAGCTTTGTTACATTAATGTACTAGCATCAAAATGCTGTGTTAAATCATGATTTGACATGGTTTGATGTTTACAGTTGGCAGAATTTAATCAATTCATTACCTAGCCTGTTATGAAAAATAAGAATACAAGATTGTGACAATGAGTATCTAGTTCTTAATTTTATCTTAGTTGCATGTGTCATCAATTGGTAAGTCTTATTTGAAATAACAGCTGAAACATAGAAAAGTAACCATTCAAATGAACAGAATAAATCTTAGTCCTAAGAGATTTGGAACTCTCAGAAATTTAATAATTAAAGAAAAAGGTGGATCAAACTCCAAATCTTTGGTTTTTTCTTGTTCAACATCTTTCCAATTTGACAAGCCATGAGAGTTTTTAAAGTACCAGGTGGCCCATCATACTGTTTACATGCTTGATCCCTTATCTGGAAGATCAAAGTATTTCCAGTAAGGAGTGTGGTATAAAGTTATACCAAAAAGATATTAGTGCAACTAGAAGAATCAGTTATCTTACTTATTTGTCACATGAGGAGGGAAAACATGGGATGCAAAAGCTCTTCAAAATATATCTACAAACTCAGCACCTAAGCCACCAATTCCAAGTGTTTGAAGATTAAACTCCTTGTGCCTGACAATGTTGTTACTTGTAGCTTCATGCTGATTTACAATCTGACGAATACATTTTAGAATATCAAATTTCAATACATTATTTGGTATTGTATACTATCTAAAATACTACTGAAAATGTTCACCTGAAAATGGCCATCATATCATGACTCTGATATATGTAGCTAAATAATTCATCAAAGGAGCAAGTGCAAAAAATAAATTAAGAAACAATTGAAGAGATATGATATCTACACCCTTAGCAAGAGCAAGGCCAATCCTTTCCAAGAGAGAGATATTACCTAACACCGACATCATCGACACTGCCGATAGCCATACCAGTAGAGAGACCAACAAGGCCACAAGCTAGATAGCCATACAAGTACTGATGATCACGAGAATGATAAGTCCATAAATACCCAACACTATAAAGTTGTGTTAATAACTGATTAGCAGCTCCTGATCAAAGAATGTAAACAAACAACTTTATAGATTAGATTATGTCTTTGTTGCACTGTAATACAAAAGAAATAAAAAATCACAACCAATTTTAATACAATCAATTCAAACATTACACACAAACTAAAAATTCTAGAACATTAGAAATATGGAAAGGAAACTAATGCATATACTATTTGATTAAAAAGAATTAATTAACAAAAACTTAAAGTCATATATAAGATCATATTTTAAAATTGCAAAAGTATAGAGGTAGGGTTACATCCCACGTGAAAAACTATAGAGGTATGAACTTTGTTTCTCTCAGATTTTCAACACTTAAAAAATCAGAGGACATAATTAAGTTTAAACTTAACTGAGATCAGCTCAAATACCCCCAAGCTTATCATATAACTCTATAGCTAGCTAACAAAAATACAGACTATCCAATTTTGAAATTCTAGTTGATCGATCACAAGGCATCTAAGGTCAAAAACAAACCCCTTAACCATCTAAACCCCTTTGCCTCCAAATACTATGGAATCCAAAAAAATTACGATAAATTTGAGAAATTAAACAAAAACAAGGAAAACTTGATTGCGAATTAGGACAAATATAAAACAACTACCTCCTTATGGCATTGATCTGAGGAACAATGAAGACGATGGTGCTTCCTTAGAATCTTAGATCCGATCTCAGACTTCACCGACTCGACGAGTTTGAACTCCTGCAGCTTCTTTAACTCCATCTGAAGCTTGTCTTGCTCTTAGCCCTTTGTTTGGAGCTCTTCCTTCTTGATCTTCAAGTTCTCCTCATTCTTAAGGAGCTTCTTGTTTTCTCCTTCTAAAGCCTCATTGCCTGATGCTTCTCTTGCATTTCTTCAAGTTCTTTCTCAAAAGACAGACAGTTGGGATCTGAGCATGAGATGCAACGAGAGGGAGAGACGGATCGATTAAGATAGAGAGAGATGCGGAGGTATTGGTGTTTTCTCAAATCTGATGCATGGGTGTTTTTCCAAGAAAAAAATGAAAGAAAATCTCAAATCAAAGAGAACTGAGAGAGGTAGAGAAAGATGTATAGATTTTGTTTGGTTGAGAAAGAGGGAATTTGGGTAGAGAGAGACAGAGGGAGGGGTTAAAGGGAGAGAGACGGAAGTGGGGTGTGGCGCCTGGGTGGGTTAAGCAGGAAAGTGGGGTATGGGTGGGTTAATTGAGAGAGAGAGGGACAGAGACAGAGACAAAGAGACAGAGAAAATGGGGTATGTGTAGGCCATAAGTATTTGAAAAATAATAAAAAAATAAATAATTGTGTCTTTAGAAGTAAAAAGTTGGCACAAATGATAATTTGAGTCCATTATTTTTATAATGATGTCTTGAAAAAATATTTGTGCCAAATTTGTAGAAGAATGGGCACATTAATTAGTGCCTTTATACAAAGGAAACAAATACAATTTTTTTGTGTGTAAAATTGGTTAGTTACCCTCAAAATGATTAATTGTGACCTCAATTTTGTATCCATAGGCCATTTTTCTTGTAGTGACACCATCTCCGTGGCGGAGGCAATGGCGCTCAGAGAACTTTGAAATGGGCCAAGAGGAAAGAACTAAAACACATCATTATCGAAGGATATTTAAAGTTAATAATTGATGATATTCAAGGCCGATGTAACATTCCTTTGAACCTAAGGTCAATTTTGGGTGATGTCAAATGGCTCTCCTATTTCTTCTTCGAGATTAGGTGGGCTCATATTTTTCGAAAAGCAAATTTTGTGGCAGATGCACTAGTAAAGTTTTGGCATCAAGTTGAAAATCTGCACATTTGGAATACTTGTATACCTAATAATGCTTACAATGCTTTCTTTTTTATTGTATGGGGCATGGTTGTACAAGAGCTATCTAATTAAATTTCCCTGTTTAGCCAAAAAAAAAGGGTGAGATACACACCTCATAATTCATTAAATCTCTCTCTGCTCCTTGACACGCCCCTCTCTCTCCCTCTTTATTATTCTTCAATTAAATAAACATATTGTTGTATACATAATTTATTGAACAATTATGGAGGCCATATAGAGAGAGAAGGTGCGGCATAGAGAGAAGAAGAGAGAGATGTGTAATTGTGGGTGTGTGTTATTTCACCCCATTGTGCCTTTATTTATAGTAGTAGGGAAGGTTAATTCCTTACCCTTTTAGGATTACAACTCTTAATAGGTAATCAACTATTGATAGGAATCTAAGAGATATTCCAATATAAACTAGGATTTTCACAATCACATTCCTACTCTAATAGGAATGCAACACTCCCCCTTGAGTGTGTAAATACTCAAGTAAATGGCGTATCAGATTTTCAGTGATGAAGTAAGTACAGTTGATGAAGTCGTCGACACAATGAGCGAATGCGAGTCTCAAATCAACGAAAGAATGCATAAAAAGGTAAAACTCACAAAACCTTGCTATGGTAAAACCCAAGGTGGGAGAAAAACCCATAGACTAAGGAGAAAAGTGAGAAGTTACATTAAGTCAAAACTATATGTCTTTTGGACACAAGTAGAAGAGCTTACAAGGGTATGATCAACTCAGGATGGGTGCCTCGTTAAAACCTAGTTAGGTAGGAAAAACCCATAGACTAAGGAGAAAAGTGAGAAGTTACATTAAGTCAAAGCTACACGTCTTTTGGACACAAGTAGAAGATCTTACAAGGGTATGATCAACCCAGGATGGGTGCCTCGTTAAAACCTAGTTACGTAGCAAAAACCCAGTGGGAAAAATGGTCCTAAGGGAAAAAGAGGACATTAAGATCAAGTGAGTATACTTCTAGATACTCCCCCTGAGTTTGACGTAACTTCCAAATGAGAACTACAAGCATTGCATATGAATAGTTATCCTCGGACAAGCTTCTGGAAGGTTGACTTCGGCAATGACATCGTGTAGAGGTCGGCAAGGTTGTTTGGGTTCGGCTTGCATGACTTCAATCTCCTGATGCTTTGCTGATGTAGATGTGAACACAATATGTCTTGGCGTTGACTTTATTGATGTATCATAGCTTGGTCGGGTTGATACATGCGGCATAATCTTCATGGATCGTCGTTGGGACTCAACGATGGATGTAAACATAACAAGTACTTCGAAATGCTCAACAAGAACTCATAACCATGTCTCACTTATGGTGTAGTGAGGTGATGTGAGTCTTGGAACGATTCGAAAATTTCGCAACTAAGGTCATATCGTAAACCTCCAAGATATTGCGATATCCCTAATGGTAAAGACATAACCATTCAGGAATTTTTCCTTGTGCGGGCTTGATAAGTAACATGCGTCAACATAACAAACAAGGCAAGCATCATTCCGAGGATCAGGGGGGTTGGATTTGCTCGAGATGCGTTGGGACTTGCCCAAATTCTTAGTACCTTAAGGGTAGTCTTTAATACCAAGTCAGTGGTTGCGTGTAGGTGCGGTGCTGCATCTTTACCAATAGATCAACAACGAATGAGATGTGCTATTTAAATACAATAAGCTAAGTACAACGAAGCGCAAAGTTGAACTTTAGATATGGAATTTTAGATTCCATAACCTCTTCAGGGTCTCATTTGCATATAACATATGGACGATCATAGGTATACTCAAAGGTAACATATTCAGGGTGTAGTTTGACTGGTAGACCAAAATACCATCAGAACAATGCTTCAACTTTAAGTCAAGGCATAAACAAGTTTTCCTAAGATCATTCATCTCAAATTCCATCTTCAGGTGAAAGGCAGTTTTCTCAAGCTCTTCCACAGTCTTGGAAAGATTCGTGTTAACGATATAAACTGTAACTCCAACAATTTGGAATAAGACTTCATAGTTTAAAATGCAAGGGTATAATTCATCCCTGACTGATCAAATAATCACTTAAACAGGTATACCACTTCTGTCAAATTGCAGTGAACTCCTCGAACAAGTTAAGAAGGTGTGTCGTGGTTTGGAACTATTTGAACCAGTCCATGTAATTCTTCGGGAACCTACATGTTAATCTCCATATGTTTATCCCCATGGAGAAAACACTAACCACATTTCATCATGCTACTATCAATCATAGGACATTTGAGAGAAACCTTCTGTCGTAAGGTGTGGATCATATCGCACTATTTCATTCATCTCATAATGCTTCCTATCCCACTTGTAACACAATAGGGTTACCTTAAGCAGTGTAGGAACGACAGGTCCAATACACATTTTGGTAAGGAATTTAACTTGGATTGTAATGTTAGTTGTCCCTTCAGCTCTACGTTGTCACTTAATCAACGGAACCCGACTTGATATCATCGCTTTTCATTTATGTCAGTAGCTACCATATAAGTGAAAACATCATCGATGGTAATCTCATTTCAATTCCATTTAGCTCATCCAAACTAGTATACTGACCAAGAACTTTAAGTCTTAGGAGAAATATGGATTAATCTAACGAGATGGAAAGGATTTGAGACAGCGATTAAGTGTAAATTCATTTTGTATCGTGCTTTCCTCTTTTAAGGAAGTGAATCTTACGAATTAAGTGATCTGTCGTGCTCAAGTATAAGACATATTAATTGGCTATATGCCGGTGTATCGGACCGTCCAACAAGGGTGTCCAAACTGTCCAACAAGGGTGGCACACCCTTCAGGGATGTTGACTTGACGTCCGTTAAGTACGTCTATCCTTGCAGGCATGTTTGCAGCTGGTACATGATCTTGTCGCTTTAGCTAGATCAGAGGAATGCGTCTGGAGCAACATTCTGAAATCTAGAATTCATCACACTTGCTTATCACACTTGTGTAGTACGGGGATTGAGATGAGACATAGTGGGCAACGTCCACGTAAATTTGCTCAATCCAGGAACATTGACGTTCTTATCTCCCTCTAACGAAGGGAAGACTGTCTTATTAAAGTGACAACCCGTAAATGAGCGGTAAAGATAACGCGTGCAAGGGCTCGAAGAGAGCTAGTGTGAAGAGAATCATAATCGATAAAGATTCACTTCCTTCTTTGATGACCCATGTTGGTACGTTGCAGCGGTGCAACTTGGCACATGGAATGCACACCTAAATACGTATATACGAAAGTCATCAGGTTCGTACCAAATAACAAACTATAACGTCATTTAGGTTGGTGGCAATGAGCCTCAAGGTGGACCAACATAACTGCGTACAAGATTGCATAGCCTTACGCAGAAACCGAAAACTCGGTACGTTTCCCAAAATCCGGGCGATCATTTAAATTGCACTTTTATGATTGCTAGGCGAGGCTATTTGGGGTGAACATGGGAATTCGATGTTCAATTATAAACCCAAAATATATGCAATACTTTATAAAAAATCATCGATGTAAACTCTCAAACATTATCCAGTCTCCTAGACCTTATGGGATAAGTAGGGTGGTGAACCCTTAATCGGCTAAGGTTTAACAGCAATGTGTGTGGATAAACATGTGACCAGTTTGTCGATTCATCAACCAAAACCATAAGTATTTATATGGTCCGCATTTTGGTTGGATTAGTCCACATATATTCCTTTGAATCCACTGTGAAAAAGAAGTCGTTTCGTATCTTTTCTAGGGATAATTTAGAAATCAAATTTCCCAAAATGAGAGGGTTTTGGTAAAGTGTGCTTGTAGGTATAAGATCCTTACTTTGGTTAAGGAGATGCATCGTAGCATCATTGTTCGACCTAAGTGTCCCAAAAAGGTCATGCCAAAATAGGTAAATTGCTTAAATCATCCAGCTCCAGGCTGATCACATGTGGCGTGTTTCCAGTTGGAATAAAGCCTATTAGCCCCAAACCAAAGATTCATGCTCATTTTTTAAGGTGGTGCAAAGATATTCCACTCTATTTTCTTCAATGGTTTCATTGATGATCATTGTTCTCTCGAATATCCTTAAAAACTCAACGGCAGGGAGAATTTAAGGTCCCTTAAATGGTGATGCAATAACATTTATACAATGAAGAACGTGCCAATGCTCTTAATCAAGTTAGATAGACCTGAAGTCATTGTTAGAGATGTGATTTAGGTGTAAAGTTAGTGTTCGTAGTACGTATTCATCAAGACAACTAACTATCCCACATTCCTACCTAATCACGTGTTCAATTGAATCGGTCACATGTAGTAAAAACATGATTCAATTAACTCATAATCAAGGACA